ACAGGAAGATCTGTGATAGGGCACTGATCGATCGGCAGATCCAGGCCGAACATCACTGGACAGAATCTGCTGACTGATCGGTGCTGCACCAATCACAGCACTGCTGGGTCGGCGTGCGTGCCCCCTACCCAGGAACACAGATCACGTTTTATATACGTGTTTTTGCGCAGGGAGTCTGTCCTCTAGCAGTAAACCTGCTATAGGGTGGAGCTTAACTGGTTAAGGTAAATATTTTACCTTTTGAACCACTTTAGTGTCATGTATTTGGCTATACATTTCTGTGGCTAAAAAAAACAAGTATTTTATCAAGACTGCTGAAAAGTTAGTCTACAAATTATGGTGTATATATACCGTTAGGTCCATATATATTTGGACCTGATATTTACCAAAACATATTCAAGTTAAAGTTATATAATGGATATGGGCTGAAAGTGCGCACACTCAGGTTTAATTTGAGGGTATGTACATCCAAATTGGAGGAAGGGTTTAGGAATTACAGCTCTTAAGAGTAGCCATTCCACCCTTTTTCAAGGGACCCAAAGTAATTGGACAATTGAATAAAAATCTGTTTCATAGCCAGGTGTGGGCTACTCCTTTGCTATTTCTTCATCAATTAAGCAGGTAAAAGGTCTGGAGTGTGGTATTTGCATTTGGAATCTATTACTGTGAACCTACATCATACGTTCAAAGGAGCTGTCCTTGCAAGTGAAACAGGCCATTGTAAGGCTTCAAAAACTAAACAAATTCATCTGAGAGATGGCAGCAACATTAGGAGAGGCCAAATCAACAGTTTGGTACATTCTGAGGAAAGAAGAACGCACTGGTGAGCTCATAAACAACATAAAAAAAGCATGGACGTCCATGCAAGACAACAGTATTGGATGATCGCAGGATCCTCTCTATAGTAAAGAAAAACCCATTCACAACATCCAGACAAGTGAAGGACACTCTCCAGGAAGTGGGTGTATCATTGTCAAAGTCTACAGTCAAGAGAAGGCTTCACAAGACAAATACAGAGGGTTCACCACAAGGTGCAAACCATTCATAAACTGGAAGAATAGAAAAACCAAAATAAACTTTGCCAAAAAACATCTAAAAAAGCCAGACCACTTCTGGAAAAGCATTCTTTGAACGGATGAAACTAAGAATAATTTGTACCAGAATGACGGGAAGAAAAAAGTGTGGAGAAGGCTTGGAACTGCTCATAATCCAAAGCAACACAACGTCATCTGTAAAACATGGTGGAGGCAGTGTGATGGCATGGGCATGCATGGCTTCCACTGGCACTGGGTCATTGGTGTTTGTTAATGATGTGACAGAAGCAGCCGGATGAATTCTGCAGCGTTTAGAGATATACTGTCAGCCCAGATTCAGCCAAATGCAGCAAAGTTGATTGGACGGCACTTCACAGTACAGATGGACAATGATCCAAAACACACTGCAAAAGCAACCCAGGAGCTTTTGAAGGAAAAGAAGAATATTCTTTAATGGCTGATTTAATCACCTGATCTCAACCCAATTGAGCATGCTTTTCACTATCTGAAGGTAAAACTAAAGGCAGTAAGACCCACAAACAAAGAACAACTGAAGACAGCTGCAGTTAGAGCCTGGCAAAGCACCAGAAAGGAGGAAACCCAGTCTTTGGTAATGTCCATGGGTTCCAGACTTCAGGCAGTCATTGCCAGTAAAGGATTCTCAACAAAATATTAAAAATGAACATTGTATTTGTAATTATACAGTGGAGGAAATAAGTATTTGATCCCCTGCTGATATTGAATGGTTGGCCACTCACAAAGAAATGATCAGTCTAAAAAGTCAGCAAAAAATTCAAAAGAAATGCATGTCTAACAAATTATGCACTGATTTGCATGTTCATGAGGGAAATAAGTATTTGATCCCCTTCACAAAACATGACTTAGTACTTGGTGGAAAATCCCTTGTTGGCAATCACAGATGTCAAACGTTTCCTGTAGTTGGCCACCAGATTTGCACACATCAGGAGGGATTTTGGCCCACTCCTCTTGGCAGATCCTCTCCAAGTCATTAAGGTTTGGTGGCTGATGTTTGGCAACTCAAACTTTGAGCTCCCTCCACAGATTTTCAATCGGACTAACGTCTGGGACTGGCTAGGCCACTCCAGGACTTTAATGTGCTTCTTCTTAAGCCACTCCTTTTGTTGCCTTGGCCGTGTGTTTTTGGGTCATTGTCATGCTGGAACACCCATCCACGACCCATTTTCAGTGCCCTGACTGAGGGAAGAAGGTTCTCACCCAAGATTTGATGGTACATTGCCCCGTCCATCGTCCCTTTGATGTGGTGCAGTTGTCCTGTCCCCTTAGCAGAAAAACACCCCCAAAGCAGAATGTTTCCACCACCGTGTTTGACAGTTGGGATGGTGTTCTTGGGGTCATAGGCAGTATTCCTCCTCCTTCAAACAAGGCGAGTTGAGTTGATGTCAACTGGATTTGACATCAGCTGGATTTTGGTCTCATCTGACCGCAACACTCAACCAGTCCTCCTCTGCATCATTCAGATGTTCAGTGGAAAACTTCATATGGGCCTGGACATGTGCTTTCTTGAGTAGAGGGACCTTGCGGGCACTGGAAGATTTCAATCCTTGTTGGCGTAGTGTGTTACCAATTGTTTTCTTGGTGACTGTAGTCCCAGCTGCCTGGAGATCATTGACAAGATCCTCATATGTAGTTCTGGGATGATTCCTCACTGTTCTCATGATCATTGACACTCCACGTGGTGAGATCTTGCATGGTGCACCAGACCTAGGGAGACTGACAGTTGTTTGTGTTTCTTCCATTTGTGAATGATTGTACCAACTGTTGTCACCTTCTCACCAAGCTGCTTGGCGATAGTTTTGTAGCCCAGTCCAGCCTTGTGTAGGTCTACAATCTTGTCCCTGACATCCTTGGACAGTTCTTTGGTCTTTGCCATGGTGGAGAGTTTGGAATCTGATTGCTCCTGTGGAAAGGTGTCTTTTTATGCAGGTAACAAAATGAGATTACAGCCCTCCCTTTAAGAGACTGCTTCTAATCTCAGCTTGTTACCTGTATGAAAGACACCTGGTAGCCAGAAATCCTGCTGAATGATAGTGGATCAAATATTTATTTCCCTCATGATCGTGCAAATCAGTGCATAATTTGTTAGACATGCATTTCTTTTGAATTTTATGTTGCTATTCTGTCTCAGTGTTACAATACACCTACCATTCGCTTTTTAGACTGATCATTTCTTTGTGAGTGGGCAAACATTCATAATTGGCAGGGGATCACATACTTATTTCCTTCACTGTATTCATTTGTCCAATTACTTTTGGTCCCTTGAAAAAGGGGGGATGGCTACTCTTAAGAGCTGAAATTCCTAAACTTTTCCTTCAATTTGGATGTACATACCCTCAAATTAAGCCTGGGAGTGTGCACTTTCATCCCATATCCATTATATAAATATAGCTTGAACATGTTTTTGGTAAATACCTGAAAAAACTAATATTCTGCCTGTGTCCAAATATATATAGAGAGAATTTTTTTGAAGATCACGTTTGCCACAAGTTTTTTAGTAAATGAAAATGCATCTTTTTACATAAATTTGTCAAGATATTTCTAACGCACAGCATGAGCATACTTAGAATTACACCTCAAAACGCATTCTACTATACCATATATGTAAGACTTTTTCTCAGCCTACCTGCATAGAGGGGCTCATACTTTTTAATGGTACTTCGGCCTAGAGCCCTCGCCACAAGGATTTGTTGCAGGACACCTGGGTTATCACATACTCCTTCCAGCCACACTTACTCTATCTCCCACTCTGCTCCATGAGTACCCTAAAGGTGATTTCCCTAACTTGTAGCTATGGAGGAGAACAGGCAAAAGCTGGCAAACATTCACTCTGTCGAAGATCCTTGCATCACTCTACCTCAGAGTGATGATTTGTCCCTTGCACCAAAGCAGGACCCAGTTTAAACACTGGTCTTTGCATCTGATTTTAGCTCTCTTTTAGGCATGCAACAAATGGCCTACCAAGCAAAAGTAGAATTTTCTGTATTTGTCACAATTTCTTGGACGGATTATGGCCTTAATACAGCTATCTTTGTCCAGGGCTGAGAAATACCCTGCCTCTTTTCCTACTCCCATTTCCCAATGGGATTCGGGCCCTGATCTGCCAGGCCTAGAAGACTGAGTCTGAGGGAAATGAGGATATTGAGGCATTGTTGGAGGAAGCTGTAGAAGATTTGTCGCACATGTATTCGCTATGATAAAGGAGCTATCGCTATGATAGAGGCTATGAGCTTATCAACATTCGTATGTTACAGAGATGTACAAAAATTTGTAAAACATTCCTTGTTCATGAAGAGCGAGAATGTGCAGTCTATGACAATTTGGTTGCTCCGGAAAGGATTTTCACCCTCGCAAAATTCTTTGCTGAACTCTATCCATTTGAAAAAGTTTGCAAAAAAGTTCCTGCGGCTGACACTGTTTGTTTTAAACAAACATCTCGCTGTACCTACTGAAGATGTTCCTTTCTTCAAGAATTTTGTAGATAGAAAACTAGAGGTGCTCTTAAAAACTCTTTACTCTGGCAGGCCCAGACCTGCAACCAGCTCTCACCACTATTTCTGTATGCCAAACTGCAGCTAAATTGACTAGGACAATTCATAACCAACCCTGTATTTAAAGATCCTGCTGTAACACAGAAAATTTAACAATTTCCCTTCTGCTCTTCTGTCTTGTATAGATGTCCTGGAACATGTCACAAGACAGGTATCCAGAATGGCTTTAAAGTGTTACTAAACCCAGGACCCTGCATTCACTATATCTAGTCTCCCACACTACACAGAACATGGAATGAAATTTATTTTAATAAATATAAACTACTAAATACTTTTTCTCATCAGCAGTTAGCAGTCTTGTGACTTCTATAAGTGTCCAGTCCACCACTAGCTAAAGCTTGTAGGAGGAGTTTTGTTTATGCTCTAGGAGGATGAAAATCCCCTGACCTCTGTCTGGACAGTGCTGATTGGCCCTCTGCTAATCACATGCACTCTCCCAAGAAAAAATACCTCTAGCAATAGACAACAAACTGAGCATGTGCATGCCTACGGTTCAGTCTGGAGATAAGAGGTGGTCACTTGAAAGAGGGGAGGAACAGAGAAGAAAGGATCATACAGCCTTTTCACACAATGCAGAGGATTAACCCCTTAGGTTCCACAGTTAGTATAACAAGCATGCTTTACTGCATCTACTAACTGATTTTATTGTTGTGGGTTAGGTAACACTTTAATCTCCATTCATATGAGCAGAATCTTATGGCTAAAGGCTTGGACAGCAGAAGCTGCTTGTAAAAGGCACCTTACAGGAAGATGTATGTTTTGTTGAGGCACTTGACCAATTCATCAAAGAGGCCTCAGGTGGGTAAGTTTTACTTCCTCAAGAGAAGGTAATAAAAAACGCCCTCCTCAGGAGCCCTTAGCTCCTCAAAATATAGAGCACGTTCACACCTTTAACCAGACTTCAACTTGAGAAGTTCAGCCCTTTCAGCACAAGGCTAAGCTCACAAACGCTACTAAGCCTTACCTAAAGCCCTCTTCACAATAAAGAGCTTTCCTGACTAGAGTGGGGGATGTCTGTTTCAGTTTGCATACCTATGGGTTGCAGATGTCCCAATCCTGTGGTTTTAATTGGTGGTCTCAAAAGGATACAAAGAGTTCAAAACTCTGCCACCTCACTACTTATTTCAAATCAGCCAAAAACTGTCCAAGGACAGTCAGATTTGCAAAATGCCCTGAACTATCTCTTGTTATGGAGTCCTATCAGTATCACCACAGGACAGGTTCAAGAGATTTTACTCAAACTGTACCAGTGTCACGGTCCAATGGGGAAATTCCTGGTATCCTAGACTTAATCCCCCCAGCAAATACCTTCAATTTCCAAAATTTTTCATGTAACCTCCAAGGTCAGTAAATGCTTTTCTGAGACAAAGGGAATCTATGACATTCATAAACAACCAAGATGCCTATATGCATCTTCCCATTTACCTCATCAGCGTTTTCTACACTTTGCAGTGGCAGACAATTATTTTCCAGCTTGTCACACTGCCCTTTGGCCTATCCTCTCCTCCCACTTGGCACACTTGCTTGCCCTTCTCAGAACTTTGGAAATCCAAGTGACAGGTTGTCTGGATGACCTTCTGAAGGATTCATCTCCTTTTGTAACTCTCAGCAAATGTCCAAAAGGCAACTCAGCTGCTCTAGACCTTATGGCTAGGTGATCAATTTAAAAATAAAAAATAAAAGCTTTCCATCCAACCCTCAGCCTAGGATACTTTGGTCTGATCCTGGATACATCTCAAGCAAAATTATTCATCTAAAAGCTCCTGCTCGACAACTTACAACATAGATCCAAGAGAGATCGCACACTGAGATTCAGTATGAGAGTTCTGGGTCTCATGGTCACCTCCTTTTGAGGAAGTACCTTTCACCCAATTCCACTCAAGAACTCTCCAACAAAACATTCTGTCAGCAAAATGTCTGGAGAAACAGTTCCTTCCCCTAGACTTTACCCATGCTGCTATCTAGCCAGGTTTTTACAACAGGCGCAGGTCATTCAGGCTTGAGAGTTTTCCAGTCCTTGAGCATTCAGGGAAACCTGGTCAAGAGGGGAAACCAAACTCCCCTTCAACAGCCTTGAGCAGTTAGATTTCCCTCCAGTGCTGGACCCCCTTCTTCTAAAGGAACGCCCAATTTGCGTGCAGTCAGACATTGTTACTACAGTGGCATATATCAACCATCATGGGGGCATGAGGAGCCTGGCTTCCTTGAGGGAAGTAAACTATATCCTCTCATAGACAGAAACTCACCGTCTAGCGAATTCTGTGGTAGACTAGCAGGTGGACTATCTCAGCCACCACCATTTGGACCAGCGCAAATGGTCGTCTTCATCCAGATGTGTTAAATCTGATATGCCAAAGGTGGGGCACCCTGGATGTGGACATCCTAGCCTCCAGATACAACAAGATGCTACGTCTGTTTATTGCCAGGACCAGGGATCCTCTGCCTATTGTCTAATATGCTTTTGTCATCCCTTGTTATCCGTTTAGGCTAAATTATGACTTCCCTCCACTGCAGATTCTGTCTCTTCTGCTCCACAAAATAGAGCAAGAGTGGAAGACAGGGATTCTACTCTCACAAGAACCTAGTGCACAAACCTACTCCTTCTAGCAGGTGACCCCTGGCCTCTTCCCAACTGGCCTGATGTCTTGTCTCAAGGCCCTGTATCGCACCCTGCTTCACAGTCTAGCCGTAACTGCTTGGCTGTTGAAACCTAGGTATTAAAAGATAAAGGAACCCACATTATAAATAACTATCAAATTCTGTATTACATGCTGTTCATATTCACTATGAGAATGGTTTTATATATTCTGCACAAAAAAACTGGCTGATCCTGCTGCTCTCTGTCCCCATCTTCTGTTCATGTCCCCAATTCAGTTAAGGATTTTGCAGCTGCAGAGGCAGTTCTGCACATGGTCAGTTTTCAGTGAGTTTCTATGCTGAGCATTTCCTTCCTATCACATCTGCGTAACCCATGTGACTATAGAATCACACGTGTGGGTGTATACACAGTGGTAAATTATATTGCACTACCTCTCTCCTCCTCCATGCCCACTAACCAGATAAAAAACAATTGGGGGAGGGATATTACGTGTAGATTAACGGAGGAATCACCACTGTCTTAATCTAAGACACTGACTGGAGGGGCAGGACACAGCCTGTGACTGGCAGAAATCCACCCACACCATGGTATTTCCACAAAATAATAAAGATTTAATTTCAAATATATGTTTGTATGCCAATTTAAAAACGTTTTATTTTTACTCTACTCCAAAATCTTTGTTTTTTGAACATGTGACCAGCAGCAGAGGACTAGAAGCTCCTCCTGCTTATGTTTCCCTGCAGACAGGCTGGGAAAGATCTGGATCATGTGACAGCTGTGTATTGCTTAGGAAAATGTACTTTTAATTAGAAAAAAAAAAAAACTACAGTGCCATCATCCACATACAGAAATAGAAGAGATAATGTAAATTTAAACACTGTTCGTTTAGTATCACTTTAAAGCAAGAAGGGCAACTTCCAGGAAGATCTATTATTTCATTTGGAATTCTTATTTTGACTGGTGTGAGCATAGTCAATTCAGCTCCAGTGATTACTCGATGGATTCTGGCTCTTCAGCAGACAGGTCATGACCAAAATCTAGCTCTCGTGACTAAAGGAAAGTATCATCAATATCCATTATTTTCCAAACGCTTCTGGCTTTGCAATCCTTTTGTGTGTAAAAAAAGAAAAAAAAAACCCCTTTCTTTTCATTGGTAGGGGACATCTTATTGTGTATAAATTGTCTGCCTGTGTCTTGTACTGTACAATTAAGGTAAGAGGAGTTTTGACTTGCTTGTAAATTCCATATCTTTGAGTACAGTACAGAACACAGGTCACCTTGTTACACTGCACTGCTTTTTTTTTTTTTTTTTTAATATAAAATGGAGGACTCACAGGGTGGGGTGATATTCTAGGGGAGGTGCCCCAGGGGGCTGTGCCCTCAAAAACTTGTCAGTGTCCACTCATCTGAATATACAAGCCTATAACCCATTGTGTCTGAATAAGTTGCCTGTGTCGCAAGGCTCACTTAATGCCTTCTCTGCAATGCAAATAACCTTGTAATGTCTTGTGCAGGCTTTGCAAAATTAAAACAAAATGAGCATGAACACCCTACTTCCACAGTTACTAAGGGAATCAAGTAAAGTGGTGATTGTTCCAGCCCACCAGGATCCTTCCAGAGCAGAAATCTTTTGTACATAGTGAACACTAAACTTTGTTAATTTGATAGCTGAAAACTAGAACCAAATCAAATATATTGTCAGTTGCTGTATTTTGCTGCAGTGATTTCATAGTGTGCTTTTATCATTCTGTTTGCTTTAGTTAGCATTTGACATATACATTTTCTGCCTTTTCTCCATGACAGCATGAGAGAGGCACTCGCTCACTTTAAGGGGACAGGAAAGGACAAATATAAAATTTGGCTTCTCTAAGAATCCAGTGATATCCTGTCCCTTCCAGGGCAGGATAGAATGACACAATCAGATTGGCTTGTGTCCCAAAAAAATGTAAAGACCACCTGACCTGGTTTTCCCTTACTTTCTTACCTGAAAGCCCCAGATAGGGTGTCCTTGGTGGGAGCCTGGTAGGGGACACATTACTTGGTCCAAGTGGTTGGCCTTGCCTTCACCTACAGTAACCAGAGGCAAAGCTTTGCATGTTTAAGCTTCCACAGGCTATTTTGATGTACCCTGCTGAGTATGCCATTTTACCATGGGCTAAATGCCTGGGAAGTTACACACATGGTACACTGTTATCCCTACTGTACATAGGTGCCAACTTCTGGTGATTCTTTCGCGGGCAGAGTTATTCATGCATGTGGCAGAGACCTTTTGCATATGGCGCAAGCATGCAGAATCCAGCATGCATTCCAGCATTGTTACTGGACCACACAGATGTTTCTCAGGGGCCCATGCTGAAAAAAGGCATGTGGACGAGGCAACGTACAACAATGCAGTCCTTTTAAGCAGCACTGATCAGGCCAAATTATGGCTACTTTATGGATTCAGATGTCAGAGATGCAGTGGATGCCTCTGGCCTGGCAACTGGGGTTCCTGACTCCCTGTTTAAAAAAAAAATTGTGTTTTGCGATTTCATTTTAAATACTTGCTGATATTTCTTTCTGGTTACTCTTCAGAAAATGAAGCACTGGGAAGGAAAGAGAGAAAACTATGCCTCGGAGCCAGTAGAAAGTCTAGTGCAGTATTAAACACTGTTACAATAGAAAATTGTGTGTAAACTGCACCCAAAAGATTGTAAGCAAAGAAACCCCTTCTATGCCACAGTCTTCTATGGATTTTTATTTACATACAACTTTAATGCTACATGAAAGCAGAAGCAGTGCCTTAACTTTCAGACTCATCACAGATGAAGAAATTGAATACCATTCTCCTCAGATGAATTGGTGTAGGGAT